AATTTCAAGTAATATTTTATTTCATAAAAAAAATCTGAATTTTTCACTGAACACTTCAATAAACATGTAAGAAAATTTTAAAAATATCACCTTGCTCCTCCGTATGATGCATGACTGGCTTTGTCTCTGATCTAAGACAAATACGAGTTTATCTTACGAAGCTCAAGTAAAATATTCGTTAGAACATGTTACAATAATTTTCATTTACTGGGCATCATGCGTATTTTTTATACTAAGAAGTTAAAATATGAATGATAAATAACATTGCTTTAAAGTATTATGCGATAATATCTCATCTCATTGGCGACGGTTTAACTAAAAGGTATTATATTTGGACAGTTGGACATTTTACTTGAAACGAGACAAGGTAAAGAAAGAAATCAGTTGTATATATTTATATATAGTTTATACACTACGCTTTAAAATACCCTTTTGACATAAAACCAAAAAGTTTTCCATTTCTATCTACGAAGTAAATAAATATCATTCTCTATTTCGCAGCACTGGAAAAGATACGAAACTACTCTTCGAAAAATTAATCGACCGAAAATCCTGAGTTCGAAGGCAAGAAGAACGAAATGGGAGAAAGATTTTGAACAATCACGGGAGTATTTTTTTGTCTCACATCAGTAGAGAAAAGCAAAAAAAAAAAAAAAAAAAAAAAAAAAAAAAACTTCCCAAGAAAAAATGAAGAGAAAAACAGAGAATCCTTTCAAACGCCTTTCCCAGCTGCTTCGACACCTATGCGCCACCACAGTTGCTTCAGCAAGAACTTCAGGTGCCGGTGTGTTGATGGCAGATTCAGAAGAGATCTGTTTTTAGCTCTCCGGAGATTTCCATTCGAAATACCCGATCAGTCTCCCAGTGACTTCTTGTTTATTTCGTTCCTAACATTTTTTTATTTATTTTTTTCTTCATTTCTTAGCCCATTTTCTTTTCTCTAGCGAGAATGAAATGAATACTCTTTCCATTTCGAGATTCAATGACTTGCCCTTGTAAGCAGATCCTAACCAGAATTTTATCAGCAAATTTCATCTCTCTTTGTGTTTTGATGTCATCCGTTCTCAGGTGAAATAATTTACTCATACCGGCCAACATTTCTTGAAATGGAACAACTTGTGTTAAATGCAATGGACTTCAGTTCAACTGATTCTTTGAGTAAGTTTCCAGAGAAAAGAATGGGTTATTTAAACTGAAATAAGAAAGAATTTCCTAGTCCAACATAAATAATCCATTCGTATCTGTTGGGTTATTTAAGCTGATATAAGAAATCTCCCACTATTGTTTAAAGGATACATTTCTCCTTATTAAAGGGCGTGAATTAATAGTCTTCACTTATGATCATTGAGATAAATACTTAATAGAATCATGATTTATCTGCATTTATCAATGATCGCAATAAAAGTATTTTCCTACATATATTATGTTTAGGAAAATAGCTGTATTTCGGTCTCATTATAAGTCATTCTAAAACCTTAAAGTTACACTGACTGATGAGTTTATGCTGACAACAAAAACAAAATTGTAACATCTCGAGTTACGTTCTCCTGATATTAAATGCTGTTAAAATTTACCAGTAAATTGGCAAAAAAAAAAATAATAATAACAACTAAAACTATGTGCTTTTAACTAAAACATTTTAAAATTGGGATTTTCGAGAAGAAATATTATCAGTTCAGTTGATACGAAAACTCTAACAGTTGATTTTGGATTTTCAAGGAGCTTATTTAGCATTATTGGGTCGATGTCGATGAATTATTGGGTCGATGTCGTGCTTGGTCGATGAATATTTAGTCAATATTTTGGAGGTATATTTAACCAATGATTCCGACCCTCCTTACGCAAATTTCTCTTTGGAATGCTTGAGCGATAAGACCACTGGACACTAATAGTTCTAACCAGATTCAAATCCTGGCAAAATGACTGGTTGCATGGGAGTATTCCTAGCCTTCCTCATGGATCATATGAATACGAACTATTTTTCTTTGAAAAGTCCTTTACAGTCGTATCCCTACCCTTAGACAGAAGCCTACCTGGGCTTATCACAATGTAAATAATATATTTCAATCTAACATATCCAGTTATCAAACTGGAAGATCTATGGTTTGATTCTCGACAAAAGCGATGTTGATGTTGCATGTTTTGTTCGCCGTAGAAAACCTACTAGTCTTTGTAATGCAAACAATATAACCTTAGTCTGTCATGACTAAAAAGAAATTAAAGCACTTTTCTTTTCATTTTCGAGAAAAAAGATCGAAAGTTGTATCTCAATACAAAAACAAGGTACTGTATGAAATGTCCGTGATTTGTATTCAAAGCAATCGTAATGCTGTCGAAGCTGCAGAAGAGTGCTCTAGTTGTTCATCGATGTGTCATGTCCCTTCTCCTTCCTCTTATTTGTGCAATGCAGTAAGTATAGTTTAATATCTAATTTGAAGCAATGCCCAACACTTCTATCTTCCATTCATACAAATAAAAAAATTATTTTACATTAATACTTTACAAATATGCAACTAATCCTCTCCTACCTAATTAATATAACGAAATGAATGCAAATCGGTCTTCTAATGGATATATATAAAAGTACTAGTTATAAAACGCCTTTCGGATGCATCCTACAAAGTATATAATCTCCTAATTTCAGATTGTTCTAATAACAAAAGAAGCTATTGCAGAAAGCGCTTTCATAAGAATGCAGCTTTTGGTTACTTGGAATATTCGACAATCCAATTTTCGAAGATTGAGGGCAACTACGAAAGATAATAACCACATTTATAATTAATCCATCATATGTAGAAGGTAATTGCAGCTAGATTAATACTGTAACTATCCATCAGTAAGACGATCGGTATTTACGTAATTGAAGAGCCGGGAAAAGTGCAAATACTTTGTTTAATACGTTCTTAATCATGAAAATACTTTTCTAATCAAATACTAAACCCATGAATGCGGTAATCATAACTTGTAAAACTGATACGCTTTATAACATAATCACAAAATTTTATATAATGATCTACATTGTTTAAATTTCTTAATTTCTATCCATATGCAGTAATTGAAATTAATTTATTGGGGTCTGAAATACAAAACAAATTTATATTAGTGTAAGATAGTAGTACTAAGCGTAAATTTTATATGCAACCAATTCTTTTACCTATAATGCATATTTAAGGGAACCATTATTACAGGATAAGCAACTAATAACAGTTCTTTGAAAACAAAATTCTACAACATTGCAATCATTTTAATATGATGAATAATGAAGATAAAATTTTAGATTATTAAAAACATCAGGTTAAGTTACCTTGAACATTGTTCATAACCTAGTGTTCTTGCCACATTATCTGGGACATGACTGGATGTGTCAGTCACCAAATGACTTAAAATTCTAAAATATTGGCAGCGCATGCCTGGTTTGTTTTCGGATGCTGACAACAGCTTGACAGAATGGGTTTGAAGCATAGGAGCCTTCTGTGTTTTACCTTATATGTTGGCATAAATATAAACATATTTTCTTGAAATGTCCAACATGAAGAAAATCCTTCTCTGAGAAAATTTAGTCCTGGAAAGATTTATTATGATTATTTAATTCTAAACTTTAATAATTAAATGTCTCCGACTAATTAACTTGATTGCCACCAAGAAGATAAAGCTGTGAAATAGTGATTGCTATCATCGATTTCGTTATCCGATGTAAGGTGTTCCTGTAAGGTAAGTATTATTGGATTACGGCAAAACACAAAAGGGCTCCGTCTCTCAGGAAAGGACTGCCTTCGTCGAGAACTACCCAAAGGAAACCAACTAGTATTCACATTACTCAAGGGGAAACAACTCCCAGCATTCAGCGTTCTTAACCACTCTACCTTTGATCATAGAGCCTAGATGGCTTAGCAAGTTGCTTGATTTCTTTCAATGTGTAATAAAATTGCTAGTTACGTTTTGCTAAGAACGATGACCGCGGTACTCTCCCAGAGATACTTTTCAATGTGCTATGATTGATTAATTGGACATTTTTACATTCATAAAACACTTAATTTGCAGTTAAGTGTATTTTTTCGTATCGTCGAAGGAAAATTCTGCAGTTATTTATTTAAATCTTTCGCTTTATGCCCTTAGTCTTAATTCATATAAATTTTGAATAGAAAAGAATAAATGTCCCTTTATCTTCGTATTATTAATGAATAATTTAGCTGCTCATATCCAAATTAAAATTCTTGAATACGAAAAGTGAAAAATAGCATGTTTCACAATCATCCTTTTATTTATTTATTTTATCATAACGTATTCAATTAATAATTTTTTAATGTTATAATCTGTTATAATCTAATTCAGGTTTCTCAGCGTTCATCTTATTTTTAAATACGCTTAGAATTTTAGAAGTTTACAACTTAGTTGAACTTTGATGTTTAATTTTTTTTAGCACGAATACATTTTTAAGCTTTTTATTTATTTTCGAATTGCTGAAGATTATAAAACCCTTATGCAATTCTTTCCGGTTTTAAAAAATGTAATTGAATTTAAATTTTAGGTAATATAAATTTGCAAATTAATATACGTAGTTCAATGAAAAGAAATCTATGAAGTAACAGAATATTATATACCTTTCCAACTTCAGTACCTTTACTGAACTTTTCCAGTGATTTATTTAAATTAGCTGTAAATGTTTATACATTAATATATTAAAAAATTTGGGATCCACAGAGAGTTTGAAAGCGGAAAGGACAGCCATAATCCCAAAAGTTTATATTCTACTTCGGGTTTTCCCACACGAGGCCTTTTTAGAAATCGTTCCCTTTCAGTCTTTTACAATAGGACCTGATGGTGTGATGTATGAGTGAAGCTTTGCCCTTTGAATTTCATGCTCAGCCTGATACAGTACAACAACATGGTAATAAAATACAGTATAACCAATACAATAGGTCCGGTTGATAATATCTAATATAACATGAAAATTGTTTTATTAAATTAAAACAGATGGTAAAGCATGCTTTATCCTTTACCTCATGTCTTCAGCCACATGCTCTCTCCCTTCACATGCATCTCTGTACTAACCACAATGACAGAGATATAGAAGAAACGGTGAAATAGCATGGGTTTTGAAGTTCCTCATGAAGGAACTAAAAATACCTACAAAAGAAAAAAAATGCCTGAAGTGGCATGATTTTTGTTACGACCTCCAGGAAACTTAAACTGGAAAATCTTAAAATGGAACATTACAATCTCTAAAAATCATACAGAATGAAAATACAAAAAACGTCAAATTAAACTAAATTTAGTGCACATGTAAATTATCGAATTACATTTCCTGACGGAGGGAAATAGACTCAAAATTAAATTTTTGAAAAGTAATTAGATTTACTTAATTAAAAATATATTGTTTATATTTTGAAAATACTTGAGCAAAGAAACTGTTCAAAATAAGAAACGCTAAATAACATTAAGATACAATAACACGCCGAATAAGTATTAATTTCACCAAGCTAGTGATGGTTTCAGTGACTAATTTTTGCTGCCAAATTTGATGAGGAATCGTCAGAAGTCTCCGAATTTGGCGATATTTTGGTCCGATCCCCCATATAACTGTAATTGACCTGAACCCCATATGTAACTGTATGCGTCGCTATGTGTAACTTCAACTGCATATATATTCCAACAATTTCCAGAAACTGAAGGTACCGGAAGCATCAGTTCTTGGTTTTGTGCAGAGTTGAGTTCGGAGTATTAAGAGAACTCCGAGTTTCGCCATTTTAGATGGACTTTGCATTGCGTTGTGTTTAACGTTCTTAGTAGTTTGAAGTGGTAACTACTGATTGTGCTTTGTGATATACTGAGAAGCGTTATATGACTACTTTTGTGAAAAGTTTCAAAGTCCGCTCTGTTTCTTTTGGTAAAATAAATTTTTATCAAGCTATCATCGGCTCTATATGCCTTAGTCCATTACGAACCCATACATAGGCAACACTATTTTAGTGTGATAACTTGCTGAGGTTGAATTGCTTTGCAAATAATCTTTTCCTTCTACGGCTTGTTGCTTCGCTACCCTACCCGGGAGAGGCCGAATACCATTGGTCATATAGCCGTCTCATCACCTACAATGTTGCCCAAGCTGCACCATAGGAGGCAAACGATTTTACACCTGCGACTAGAGGGAAATTCCTAGAGATCAGCCCGGGGTAGGGATCCGATTACTTTCCACCCCTCTCACACTGCGATTTTTCGAGAAGACTTTTGGCTCTCCAATAATTGAATTGCTCCCATGCCGAAACATCGAAATCTTCTCCGGGATTCGAATCCGGGTCCTAATTACGAAAGTCAGCAGCGCTGAATATTGTACTAATCATACGATGACTTGATAATATAAAATGCCTGATTATTGCAGCAATATGTTACATATCGTAACAACGAGGAAGTTTTTAATCGATGCTAATACTGAAAAAGCTTTTCTATTCACTTTTCTTTTCTGTACATAACTTTAAAGAGTAAATTTTTTAGCCTTCTAAGATTTTTAGTTTATAGCTACTTCAGTTTTCAGTAACATTTATTTTATCTATGGTTTTCCACTCTAAGCTATTCGTATAAATCCTTCGAGACTACATATTCGATTTCCTCTTACTTATATTTATTATTAGCTTTATATATACTGCTATCAGCGCATAATGAGACTAGGTTCTGAACTGCTTTTTACTTTGAATTTATTAATTTATATGTACATTTAAATATGTGTTTACATCTAGTTCTTTTTTAAGTTACATTAATTTGAAAAGTTCAATATATGTTATACTAAATTTTATTTAGATAATATCGTGCACATTCATCGATTTATTGTATATTATATAACTAAATATATTCTTAGAATACGATATTTTAGGTAGCTCTGTAAGTAGTATAAAAAAGCTAAGGCTCCATAGAATTACGTGCCCGCAGTTTCATCGAATTACGTAACGAAATATCTTCTAGATATTTTATTTCTGCTTCTGCTTTTGTAGCCTATCAAAAGAAATAGAAATATTAGAAGGTAATCTCATAAAAGGAAAAAAAAACTGCTTTCCTAGGGTTTTCAGAACTACATGTAAAAGTAATTTATTAGTTTTTCCACCATTCCGTTCCGTATTTTTTTTTTTTTTTACCTTTACCTTTTCATGTGTTCAGTGGGCTGAGAACCCCCCAAATGTACATTTTTTCTCGTCATCAATGTACGTAGTATTAATTTCGATAGCTTTTCTGTTGCGTTTCCTTTTTAGACTACCTTCGAATTTTTTATGCTGTTTCATTTCCGTCAAAATATCTTTCGAGAAGTGTTCTGAAGCAGCGTGTATTTATACTTGGAAACTATGTATCTTGAATAATAATGTCAGATATACATGAACATTTTTAGTTACGAGTTAATTTTATTACGTTTCGTTTCTCTCACTGAACTATACCTTCACGATTAAAAAAATTAATTGTTTATTTTAGTGTTCTTATTATGCTAGGCGGAGAAATAATTCAAACCTTATTCCAAAGACTTGTGATACGATCCTATTGATTTTCGACAGCTAGTGCGAACTGTATTTTGAAACAAACAGATATAATTGAGCTTTTCGAAACTTTGTTTTAGAGCCAAAGAATCTTTTTTTTAAATATTAGAGCTCAAAATCTGTGAATATTTTTTAAAAATTATAAAATTATTCATTCACCTTTCCAGTTAAAGCACGATCCTCTCCTGAAAATTCTCCAAAATTATTAAAAAAAATTTCTTTTGTAGCGTTGTGATGATTTATTTATTTATTTTTGGCTGATAGTTTGTAAGGTTTATCCTAATTTCTCTAACAGTTAATTTTTAGTTAAAAGTTACTTTCCTGTCCTCTCTGAATTTCAATTTACAATTTCCGGCCTTCAGAACGTGTTTTCAGAATCGCGGTCAAATGCAAATGAGGAAGAGAAAGGGTATTTAACTGTGAAGTTCTACCGACTTCGTTAGAGAGCCAGAGATTCTATGCAGCACGTGTTAGCCTTTTGGCTATACTCTCTCTAAAGCTATTATTACGCTCGGCGGTACTTTAGGCTCTTGATAGCTTCGCCGTTAGTTAGCGTTAAGGGAACTCTGTTAGAATTTTGATAGCTTCGGCTAAATTTTTTTAGCTTAGTTAAGCTTTATTCCTTAGTTTCCTGAGTTCAAGCCCGAATGGAGGCTTTATTGTAAACTCCAAGAAGGAGTCGACTGTTAAACTTTATTTGGAATAATAAAGAGTATTTAACCCTTCTCGTGTATCTGTTCTCTGTCTACTGAATTAAGCGATTATTCGCTTACCAGTTCTTAAGGTTCTTCAACTTTAGCTGTAACTCAAAGTTAGGAATCTTACAAGTTAATTTGAGTTAAAACAACACTTTCTTGTCGCTCTCCATTTCACCCACGTTTTTTTCATGCCAGAATGTAAATGAGATAGCGCTCGTTTATTCGGATTAAGGGGGATAGAAGTGTTATTTAAGCGATGGTTCCTCAAGTTGATTTTAGAGCGTGTTCTGCCTACTTGAGGCCACGTTGTTACCGTGACTAAATAACGACTTGACACTGCTGTATTGAGTGCTTCTAGCCACTAGGCTTGTCGGTTTCTACAGACCAGAGCCTTTCTAGACGTTACTTTATCCTGTGAGCCGTTAGACTAATCTATCTACCCTTAATTTTAGTTCAGCATTACCTGTTTAAGTTAAGACAGAAATTAAAGAGGTAATGTTGACTTGTTGGCTTGTAAACCCAAGCTGTGTCATTGTTACATTTTTGTGAACAAATGGCTATTTACGCCTTTTTTCTGACTTCTATCTCTACAGTTTAAGATAAGAGGATAATTCCTCTATAGTATTCCTCTATCGCTCATCATCTTGTGCTAACCAAAGCCATTGAGACTCTACAGAGTCATTAGGCGTTTTGAAACAGAAAAACGGGGGAAATGGGCTTGTAGAAAGCCCTTGCCGGAACCTGAACCTTGAATCTCTCAAATATGCGCCGAATTACACCACGAAGGCATGCGGAAAGGAGAAATAAATTACCTAATTACCTATATTCCCCCTTTCAAAGCGCTACTGGGATTAGGCGACCAATTACCAAATCCTGTTGGTCACCAATTATCGCCCACCTTCTTATTTGTTCGGGCGCCACATGTAGCTTCATTAGGTTATTTAGAAGCAGGAGACATGAAGAACGTGCAGTGCCCTTGCCGGAAATGAGTTCCAAACCTCCCGATAAAGCATCGAATATGCTTCCAATTACACCACGAAGGTATGCGGTTAGTAATCAGAAAATACCTTATACATTTTTCCTCACGTTTAAATATCTAAGGATCGAGAATTAAATATCTAAAATCGAGAAATTAAAGCTTATGCAGGGAATAACTTTATTACACTGTTTGGAAATTTAAACTTCATTTGCTGTCTAGCCGAAAATCGAACTACAAATTTGTCAGTTATTATAGTCTGTTACTTAAGAATAGTATTTCAGTGTCATCTTCTTCTTCTATCTCGCTTCGTACACACGTCAACGACTATTACAAAAAATTCGGTTTATTGCGACTATTACAGTCGAATCTTCCAATTCGCTGAAGTATTTTAATGTGATGTGTGCGGTGATGACTGCATGTGTTACTGTCTTACATGAGATGAGGATCGCTACGATCCTGAAGTGCCTGTTTAAAGTAACAGATTATAGCTATGTATGCTTATTCTTTATATACAAGGGTATGTAAGGGTGAAATAATATAATCGTTTATATTGTTCTTACATTCATTTCAAGGGTCAAAAAGGAGAGACATTAGATCTAGTCAATGGTAGAAGTAAGTGACTTCCACTCTATTTTTAGTTATGACATCTAAGAAAAGACTGCTAAGCATTTATGAAACTGTAAAATCAGCTATGCCTTCGCCAGGAATCGAACCACAAATCGCCTTCAATGCTAACTGAATGGTTTAAGCACCATATCATACTTGAGAATAATGTGTCATTCCGTCAAAATGTAGCCATTTTGTTTCGAGAACCGCATGCATAACATAGAAAAACAGAATATTTATTGTATTTAAACTTTTTTCACGCTAAATTTATTTTTTTTTCTTTCTCATATAATGCAAAATAAGTTTCCTACCTGCCAAGTAATTAAA